CCATCTATTCTGGGGGGCATCAGTCCGGTTGCTCATCACCGGCAAACCAAGAGTACATGAGAGGCTGTTGGAAAGAAGAAGAAAGAGTAGATCAGAAGAGAATCAGATACAGCCACTCTTGCAGCTCTAGTTGCTTACACAAGAGGCATCTTGGACCTTTTCATCTTTCATTCCCTTTCTTTTTCTATCCTTCACAATTGTGCGATGTGGCTAGCCTTCTGTTTGGTCGGTGCACCTGCCCATTGCACAAATCGTATTAGAAAATGTGCCCACAATTCCGGAACCCGAACCGGGCTTCGTTCTTTTTTTCTTTTTTTAAATAAATAATAAAACAGGTCCCTATGGCCCTGGCTCCATGTCATAGGATCGGTACCATTGGGCCTCAGCCCTCCTCCGTGTAAGCACGGACTCGAACCGGAGACCTCGGCCTCAAGAGCCAAGTATCGTAACCACTACAGCCAGGACATGGTGTTCACAAGCGGAACCATACCGGCCGTGATATCCGCCCCACCCCTGCAAGGCTGTAGTGTCCACACTCAACACACACCACACGCAACACCACACGTACGCTGGCAATCACCACACACTTCGCTCCAAGTAGCACATGACCCCCATCGCTAGCATAGCCCTCTCAGTTACGCGGGACTTTTGTCCATTCCGGGGCGCATCAATCTGGTTCCTATTCCACCGGCGATGGCGGCAACCTCAGATATACAACAAGGACATCCCCTCATGCTTTTCCTTCCGTTTGGTCGAATGACCCCTAAACAACAGTATTGATTACTCATTCTTCGATTCCGTAATATCGAAGAGGTTGTCCATCTGTTAGGTTTGATTTTTTGAAATGTCTGTGCCAGGTCGTGTCTGTCATCTGTTTCTTCTCTTTTAAACCACCAGTACCTTTCCGCTCTTGAAAAACAAATGCCCGCCGGTTAACATGGGAGGCGGGCAGGTTCGGAAGTACCGGCGCGAAATGGCTGGTGGCGCCAGCCAAAGCGAGTGATGCGCCGGTTCATTTTTTTTTGGCGCGCAGGTGCGTTTTAGGCTCGGCAACGAGAGCTGAGAGAGTTACTGGTGGTTTAAGTCTGAAGTTCTCTCCTGTTCATCTTGAAAATCAGCAGGAAAATAGCAGCTCCTTGAATGAACATCCTGTGTACTGTTTTGGATCTGGTAACCGCCTCCTTTGCTATTCGGCTCACGTCAATCTTGTAGCAACAACGTAGTACCAATTGATCGTATTATATTATTGAATTATTGATGGAATTGTAATGAAGGAACAAACATGGCCTGCAATCTGGAGGAAGGATGAAAGGATAGCTCCTATGTGCCTCTACAAGGCTCCACTGTGGCCCCCATCTCACTTGGTGTCACTGCAGCTCTGATTTGCCTCTACGAGGCTCCACTGCAGTAACAAGGGTCTCCGCATCTGCGGGAAGGATGTCACACAACTCAAATTTGACTCTGGTAGGTTCCGCCAACCTCCAGAACCAAGTGGTCACCGTATCACTTGGTGCCCCCCCCAACTCTAGTAGTGACAAAGACCTCCTTGAGGCTTCCATTGTGTGGGATGGACCATACTGGCGTACAGCAGAGGAGTTTTTTTTTTTAGTTGCCAGCTTGCCGCTAGACCCGACTCCCAAAATGTTTCTGATACAGACCCGACTCCCAAAATGTTTCTGATACAGCCTGCCCTTGGCCGGCAAAAAGAAAAATCACTGCAAGGTGACCCAGCCCACCCAAGTATTTTATGAAATTCCGCCCCCGTGCTCAGCCCGCCCACCACCCGTAAAGAACTTTCACTCTGACCCAGCGTCACCCACAAAACACCATCACCCGCCCGCATCCCTGGCCTAACGGTAGCGATTTAACACCCACGCCTACCTGCACCCCTGTGAACCCACGACCCCGAACACTCGATGCCCTGTCACTTGTTGGGGTCGTTGCGCTGCCTCTTCGTTCCTTCTCCCCCTTGCACTGCCCACCGACAGGTTCTCGTGGTGGAGTGAAAATCAAAGGTGGAAATTTGGAAGTAGGGAGCAAATCCTGCTGCCTGGTGAGGGTAGATTCGCTCCCTGTGCTGCACAACATTTGTGACGGACGCCAGGCCTGTTTCCTCGCTTGTGTATAATAAAAGTTGGGCCTTCCCCCCCTCCCCCCCCCCACAAAAAAAGAAAGGGTAGATTTGCTCCCTGTTGTTTCTTTCAGGAGGGTTCTAGTCGAAATGTGCCGCTGGTGGCTGGACCCAGGCTTGTCGTTTTTTTGAGGTGCACTGGTGCAACCTTTTCATTTTCGGGTCCTCTACCATTTTTTCTTTCAGTCCACGGGGGGTGCGAAGCTTGACCAGGCATAATCCTTTTTCTTTGGGAAATTGGGAGGGAAGGAAAGGGGGAGGGGGGTCTTTGTGAGCTGCCCTGGGTCTTGTGGTGACCCCAGTCAAACACTCACTGGCCTGTCACCCACTCAGTTGGGTGACCCAGGCCAAAAAATGACCTGCCCGTCACCCGCCCAAGCCAGCTTACCTCGACCCACTCACATCCAACCCGGGCCGGGTAATTTAGACTTAGACCTTACCCAGCAGCTTGTGGGTCGGTTGGGTGGAGATGGATGTGGGTGCGGGTACCCGTTGCTCATCTCTGCCAAACGGTGCTCCTCCAGCCTCGGCCGGTGCTCAGAAATGATGGTGGATGCTTCCACCATAGCTAGCATGGAGGGAGCTTAAGGAAACCTAAATGCAGCAGCAGCAGCAGGAAAAGCTGCTTCTTTGCTTAAAAGCGCTAGGGCTTTGCAGAAGGTTCTGCTGAAAAGCATTCCGCTGCTGCAGTTTTACCAAGATTCCGAATGCGTAAAAAGAAGCTTACGGTGCTGCAGTCTTCCGAGAGCTTTGCCATTCAGATGCAAGCGCCCGAGTATAGAAACGGCAGAGTCTAAGTCTTAGGGTCGTACCCTTGGCCAAACCCAAGTTCAAGGGTCAAGACTCAAAAGTCGGCCCCCGAGCCTCTAAAGAGGCTCCAGAAAGTCCTTAGATAAGTTGGCCTCGAGTTCAAGGGTGAAATTGAGGTACCCAGGGCTTCTAGAAGTCCAGGTAGGCACTAGGAAAGTGAAAGCCAAGCCTTCATGGGTAGAGAAGCCAAAGAGTCGAACGTCCCTCAGGAGTCAACCACAACCACTGACCACACACTGTCCAGAGGCACAGCAACAGTTTCCGGAAGCTTACAGGCCCACTGGGTCAAGATACACCGACCGCGGCAAACTCTTCGTCGTACAGATCGAGAAATCTCGGCCACCCGTGGAGGCAATCCAAGGCAGCACAAGCCAAGTCAACACTACAAGATTTGCAAATTCCCCAGCTCATGTTCATTTGCCTCAAGCTGCTGACGGCTAGAGCGCAAGCCCTGGAGGATGGCAGCAGAAGAGAGAGAGAATAAGAGTGGTAGTACCCATAACTAGAGTAGAACGTGCACCTGCACCATAGCTTAGCATAAGAGAATGAGGTGCAAGGGAGAGTTTTCTCCTGTGGTGTGTGTGTGTGTGTGTGTGTGTGTGTGTGTGTGTGTGTGTGTGTGTGTGTG